ACTCATTGGGTTTTTCAGTGATTCTTACGACAAGTGTTAAGATGGCTAAACGTCTTATGTAAAAGCTTATATATAAGTCCGGACGGGCTTGACCACGGAACATAGATAGAATTAATATATAACCCCATAAATCAAGCCCTACCTTCATTTCTCACCTACATAAGACAAACATGCTTGCAGGGGTGTTGAGGTCTCACACTTTTACACACACTCATACTAATATATACACTTACACACATCATACACACTCCCGAAGAACTAAAAGATATCATACACTTAACACACACATCACCTACCCAGCAACCAATAAATCTGTCAAAATGACCAAGAAAGAAATTCTGAATCTCTCCAGCCTCTTAAAAACAATTTAAAAGAAGCCATTTGACCAACACAAGGTCTGACCAAAATTAATAATGAAAGATAAAAGGAAAACCACAGATGAAATTCATTTTCATCAGAAATTTATTCATTCTTTTTACTAACAAACAGGCTCTTTTTTCTCTTGATGATGGCCATGCTGGCCGAAACTAGTCAAGGAACATAATTGAAATAATAAAACAAAAAATATTAATATACAACCCAGTGTGTCTGAAAATTTTAACCAAATATATATATATATATATATATATATATATATATATATATATTCATACACGTTTCATTAAATAATATAGACAAATTTATTTTATGTAAATTTTTTTCGTAACATATGATAAGTTTAATAACATTATCGTTGAACGAAGAAAGAAATCCACAATATAGATCCATATTTTTTTAATCCAATCTAGGCTTTCGGCTTACATAAGCCATTATCAAAGATGTCAATTACAACATATTAAGCAATATACGGATATGACAGCGATTTCTAAGCAACGATAAACACGCGCATATAAGACGCAAGAAGCGAAAATCGCACCGCATCTCATGACGTCACACATGAATTGGAGACGTATGAAGTATGGAAAGCCGTTGGTATAAATCAATGGCTTCTGTTACCAATTATAGACATTTAAGAATATTTGTAGAGATTCCATAATTGATTTTGTTTAGGTTGGGTTTCAACTGTTTGAAGTATAATGCTTCAAGGATTTTTAGTTTTTGTCTATTGTTTTCATGTCGAAGTATAATTGTGTTTTCGACAAGGATTTTACGGAATTGTGTGTGCGGCAGGCATGTTGTTTTAAATGCCTAAAAATGTTAGAGTTTTCATTCAAATGTAGTGTCAAGCGTCGTGAAAGCGAGTTTGTGGTATGACTAACATATATATGTATGCATGTATTTATCTATCTATCTATCTATCTATCTATCTATCTATCTATATATATATATATATATATATATATAATAAAAAGGCTTAAACCCTAATATTCCATGGTCATAATTTATTCCATTGGAATCGTAAATACGATCCAATTCATCAGACCTACAAATTCAAAAAGAAAACAGAAGAAATAAACTCTGTCCTGGACATTGAGTTCTACCTGGATTCTTCCTCTTGGAATTTTTATTCAAAAAATATACATGTATGGGTATTTATATATTTTGCATATGTATGTATATTTAACACTAATATTATCTCTCTCTCTCTCTCTATATATATATATATATATATATATATATATATATATATATATATATATGTATATATATATTATAAATTAATTGATTTAAAATATGTTTTTTCGCTACACAGTTCTAACTATGTTTCAAACTGTTCTTTCTTTTTTTATATATATATATATATATATATATATATATATATATATATATATATATATATATATATAATGCATATATATATATATATATATATATATATATATAATGTATGTAGGTGTATGTATACCCATTTGGCAAGTGCGAAAACATCAGTTTTTTGGAAAGGTTTCATGGTTAGGTTCCAAACATTTCAGCACTCCTTCGTAGATGTAAAATAGTAGAAAGTGATTGTCTCTGAAAATATGATTGCAAAAACACAGATCCAGATGAAAAGCTGTCCAGTGCTGACCTCAGGTCTTAGTGTCTGAAAAGCAAGGAGGGGCATCCATATATTATCTATCTTGAATGATAGAATTGCGTTCGAGTCATTCAATTCAAGAATTCTCCAAGACGAAAGAACACAAAGAAACGGTGTGTAAACAAAAGCTTTCCAAGTGAACAGTGGAGCTATTAACTTAATGGTGAGTCTATCGCCTTCATTGTCGTTTAACAGAACACCCATCTTGAGATATATATATATATATATATATATATATATATATATATATATATATATATATATATAACGCTCCTCAGGAAAACCTCTTTTTGGATATAAGTAACTTTTTTTCTTTTTTTTGGGGGACTAAGTGTCTGTTTTCCATGTCGATAATGTGCGAAAGTTCTCAGAATATATCGGTAGGGAAGACGCATTGAATAAAATAGACAATCGGAAAGATTCATCATCCAAATTTATCATGACAAAGACAAGTGATGATAACCAAAAGCGAAATGTTGTGCAGTTACACGAAATTAAAAAAATTTAAAAATAATGAAAAAGTTGTTAATATATATATATAGAGAGAGAGAGTGAGAGAGTTAATGTATAACCCCACAAATCAGGTCCTACCAACTTTTCTCATCCACACAAAACAGACATACTTGCGGAAGTGTTGAGGCCTCACACTTATACACACGCCCATACTAATATACGCACTTACACACATCATACTCACTCACTCCCTAAGAACCCAATAACACACACACTTAACAGAGATACTTAACCAAGACAACTGTCAAAATGACCAAGGGAATTCAGAGCAGCATGACACCATACAGCTCTTAGCTTAAATAACAAAAGATACTGTTTGACCAATACCAAAATTCATGATAAAAATAAAACAAACAGACAAAAGTTTATTCAAGACATTCATTTCTGTAGTTCAATGCTACTAACAAGCAGAATTTTTTTTCTCCTGATGATGGCCATGCTGGCCGAAACTAGTCGAGGAATCGAAATGGAATAATAAAAACGAAAGTATATTAATATACGACCCAGTATATCAGAAGATTTTAATTTTTTAATATTTTGATTGTTCAAAACATGCTCACACATTTTACATATATATATATATATATATATATATATATATATATATATATATATATATATTCTTGAGGTGTGCTATATTTATGTGATAAAGAGATAGAGCGTGTAAAAATAAAAGTGAACATTAAAGTCAACACTTAGAGACGACAGGCTGTTTCATGCTAGACGCAATCGTCAGTAATGTTCTTTATATATATATATATATATATATATATATATATATATATAACTCAATTAACTACGATATATAAGTTTATATATCAAAAAAATAATACTGAGAAAATAGCATGACAAATTGCTGAACGGGCTTTGGTTCAAATTTCAGGGAGAAAGAGCATCATCTAGCGTGATCAACCGTTTGGAAAAGGCCAGAAAGTTCGAACTCACGATTTGTGACTTCTTACGATTATAATTATGGACGAGTCAATTCCGGCTACGCAATTTGACTCACAAGACTTTCTAAAGATGCCGGACGTTGAGATTGCCTCTTCAGGCCAATAAATCCTGATCACTTTGTAAAAGGTCGTGGATCGATTTACACTGTATCGATGTCCTTCTAAATGGATAAAACAACCCAATATTCTGATAGCGTTCGCTTCTTGAGGAGAGTCTAATGAATACAAATCTTTACTAATGTTCACCAAATACCAGGCTCATGTGCCACTCAAGGTTAGATGGATATTGCGTGGCGTCGTATGAGCATAAGAAGAGGTAAGAACTGAAGTTTTTCAGGCTATGCATGAAAGATATTGGCTAACTCAAGTCTTGAAGAGGCCAAGATTTAATTAGTGAATAACATTTCAGAATTCAGTTGGAAACGTTAAAAGTAGACTTTAGACGGAACCGAAAATCCAGTCCTATCAGGAAACAAGGGATAAACCGCTACTTCTGTTCCCAAAACCTAAGAGAAGTGTGAACCGGACGATATGCGAACCTGTCCACTCCTGTTGGGAGAGAACAAAAAATATTGAATAAAATTTTAAGGCTCAGTTGTCGATGTTAGGATTTCGAGTTTTAGTAGAATTTAGACGGAACCGGAAGCACAATCCTAAACAGGAAACAAGGAATAAACCTCTACTACCGTTTAAAAGAGCGAGGACGATAAGCGAACCTATCTACTCCTATTGCGGGTATCTATCTATATAAATTAATTCTCAAAACGTTTTCCTATTTTTTACGAAAGGACCAGTCTTACGTATGTAGTAAAAAGGTATATATATATATATATATATATATATATATATATATATATATATATATATATTAAACTGATTTGAAAATATGGTTTCTTCGCTACATAGGAATTACCAAGTTTCAAAGACAGACATCAAAAACTTCAAATTCAATTATATTAAATTAAAATTAGTTCTGTTTCATCTTCAAGGGAATTTTTGAATAATAATAATTATTATTTATTATTCCAAAATTCGCTTGAAGATGAAACAACTAATGCTTTTAATTTAATATAATTGAATTCGATGTTTATGTTTTCGAAACATGGTAATTCCTGTGTGGCGATGACACTATATTTTCAAATCAGTTAATTTATAATATTTGTGCTCTGTAAATTGACATTGAGCACTGTTTTGTTAAATAAAAATATCAATAAGAACACCGGATTACATATCTTACTGTTCTTTCTTTTTTTTTATATATATATATATATATATATATATATATATATGTGTGTGTGTGTGTGTGTGTGTGAGTGTGTGTGAGTGAGAGAGAGAGAGAGAGAGAGAGTGCGTATATTTTGAGTATGCACGTATAAGAAGTGAGTTCGAATGGATGAAAAGAATTCTCAGGAATTCTCCTCTTTGCTAGAGTGCCATATCCAAATCGGCTGGAGATTTTTGCCGCTTCTTTTCGCTCAATTCAATCGCCTGCAGATTCCACCATTTCTTCAACTCAAATGCTTTTAACTATTCCAGTGGTCAGAGGTTTTAGAAGAAAGCTTTCATCAAAGAGAGATAAGGTTTGTCATCTTGGACTGCATTTGCACTCAGGTTTTTTCTTTCTTTCTTGATTGCAGATCTTTAATATAGTTATTCTATTTCTATCGTGTTTATCTTCTTTTTCTTTTATTCTTTGTCTTCTTTTTCTTTTATTCTTTATCTTCTTTTTCTTTTATTCTTTATCTTCTTTGTCTTCTTTTTCTTTTATTCTTTGTTTCGTCGTTATTTCTTTCTTGAATTTTAAGGTAGTTTTTTTTTCTTTCTTTCTTCGATTTTAAGGAATATTTTGTTTCTTTCTTTCTCGGATTTTAAGGTAGTTTTTTTCTTTCTTTCTTTCTTCGATTTTAAGGTAGATTTTATTTCTTTCTGTCTTTCTTTCTCGGATTTTAATGTAGTTTCTTTCTTTCTTTTTTCGATTTTAAGGTAGATTTTTTTTCTTTCTGTCTCTCTTTCTCGGATATAAGGTCATATTTTTTTCTTTCTTTCTTCGATTTTAAGGTAGATTTTTTTTTCTTTTTGTCTTTCTTTCTCGGATTTAAGGTCATATTTTTTTCTTTCTTTCTTCGATTTTAAGGTAGATTTTTTTTCTTTTTGTCTTTCTTTCTCGGATTTAAGGTCATATTTTGTTCTTTCTTTCTTCGATTTTAAGGTAGATTTTTTTTCTTTTTGTCTTTCTTTCTCGGATTTAAGGTCATATTTTGTTCTTTTTTCTTTCTTCGATTTTAAGGTAGATTTTTTTTCTTTTTGTCTTTCTTTTCTCAGATTTAAGGTCATATTTTGTTCTTTCTTTCTTCGATTTTAAGGTAGATTTTTTTCTTTTGTCTTTCTTTCTCGGATTTAAGGTCATATTTTTTTTCTTTCTTTCTTCGATTTTAAGGTAGATTTTTTTTTTCTTTTTGTCTTTCTTTCTCGGATTTAAGGTCATATTTTTTTCTTTCTTTCTTCGATTTTAAGGTAGATTTTTTTTCTTTTTGTCTTTCTTTCTCGGATTTAAGGTCATATTTTTTTCTTTCTTTCTTCGATTTTAAGGTAGATTTTTTTTCTTTCTGTCTCTCTTTCTCGGATTTTAAGGTAGTTTTTTCTTTCTTTCTTTTTTCGATTTTAACGAATATTTTGCTTCTTTCTTTCTCGGATTTTAAGGTAGTTTTTTTATTTCTTTTCTTTCTTTCTTGGATTTTAAGGTAGTTTTTTCTTTCTTTCTTGGATTTTAAGGTTGATTTTGTTTGTTTTTCTTTTTTATTGGATTTTAAGGTAGTTTTTTTTTTCTCTTTTCTTGGATTTTAAGTTTTTACTTTCCTTGGATTTTAGGGCAATTATTTCTTTCTAATTTTTACTTATTTCTTGAATTTTAAAGTACTTCTTTGTTTCTTGAACTTCAATATAGTTTCTTTCTTTCTTTCTTTCCTGCATTTTAAGTAAGTTCTCCTTTTTTCCTTGGGTGTTAAGGTCATTCTTTTTTGGATTTTAAGCTAGTTCATTCTTTCATTGTTTCTTTCTTGCATTTTAATTTTGAATTAACAAAACAGATCAAACCAAACCACATTTTCTTCCGGGTCCTACCAAAGACATAAAGTCAGAAATGGCTTTATGAGATTGTACACTGATCTTTTTCGTAAAAAATAATAAAAAAAAATATATCCTACATATTTTACATAGATAAAGCTCTTAGTAATGTTTGTAATTCTGAATACAACTTTTTGTATTTATTTAAGGCATGGGCTACCAGGAATCTTATCTTGCAGGGCATAAATTCCGATTCCAATATCACAAAACATGTTGTGATAACATTTTTTCCAGATACACGTTATATTCACTCTAAATGGACTAGACTGCTATCGTTGCCTCGAATTTCTACACAAGGAAACTGCTAATAGTGATTTTCCAAGCATAGCTTAGATGCGGCACAAGCCCGAAAGTAGGGGGGTGACCCAGTGAGAATCGAACTCACTATTCAGTAGTAATTGTTCAAGAGAGAGAAGCTTGTTAACCATTACACCATCTCGAGGTACCCCAGAGATTTTCCAAGCGTAGCTTAGATGTGGCACAAATCGAATGTATGGGACACCCAGTGAGGATCGAACTGACTACTCAATCGTAATTGTTCTAGCGAGACAAGCTTGTTAACCATTACATCGCCCCGAGGTGCCCAATATAATCACTTTCTAAGTGCGGCTTAGACTTGGCACAAAGCCGAAAGTATGGGGCACCCAGTGAGTATCGAACTCATTACTGAGTCGTAACTAATCTAGCAAGACAAACATTCCAACCATTACCCCACGTCGAGGTGCCCAGGAAACTGATAATATTTGCCTTTATTCCGTTTAACTACTAATATAGTTCTCTTTCTGGCGGTCATTTACCTATAGGTATTAGGTTGGTGCAAAAATAATGACGTAATAATGTCGTTTTTTGACCTATTTTTTAACTTCAAAAACGACATTATTACGTCATTTTTTTTGCACCAACCTAATAAATAGGTAAATTTCTAAATACCTGTCGAGAATGGTTACATAGTTGAGCTCACAAGCAAACATGTTATATCATGGCCACGGAATTTTTCTATAAGAGGAAAAAAAAAAACGCCGTGAATTCTGTGCGTATTTAGCCGAATGAGTTCCTGCGACTCTGTTTTCGTTTCCCCAAACCCCAGGACCAACCGAACCGCGCGCTCGCGAGCAGCAGAAATGATTTAAAGGTACCGCTATTTTTGGATTGGAATGAGCGCAAACTGAAACGGCGCGGCCAATCACTTAATACTGATTGTGCCCCTGAAGAGATGACCACGGTCAGCTGCAGAGCTCGATTGAACCCATGACCGCACTTTTCGAGCTGTTCCTAATGGATGGAACAGGAGAGCGACATTGTTAGATCCCCCTCCATGAAAGACTCGATGCATATGCTCTTCGCCTCTCCGCCTGTCCACCATGCCATCATACTTTCGACACTGGAGAATTCGAGAGATGTCTACCAAAATGATGACGAGGTTATGTGTATACTTTTCCCTGGACAGATATATCTATCGATACATCTTCACATTGTGTCTCTAAAGGCATTTAGATACAATGAGATGGATCGGAAAAGCATGGTGGGTTATCTATCATCAGCTGTGAAATCAATACACCAAATCATACAAAACTGGCCCTGTTAAATTTGCTTTAATCTTCTCTTCTCTCTCTCTGTCTGTCTGTCTGTCTGTCTGTCTCTCTCTCTCTCTCTATATATATATATATATATATACATATATATATATCTAAAGTCTGTCCATATCTATCTATGTGTGCGTAAGTGTGTGTATATATATATATATATATATATATATACTCGATCTATCTATCAGTGTCTATATATCTATCTTTCACAATCAGAGTTTATCTAACAGTGTCTATGTATACATCACAATCAGTATCTATCTATCTATCTATCTATCTATCTATCTATCTATCTATCTATCACAATCAGTACTTATTTATCTATCACAATCAGTGTCTATGTATCTATCACAAACATTGACTATCTATCCATCTATCACAATCAGTATCTATCTATCTATCTATCTATCTATCTATCTATCTATCTATCTATCTATCTATCTATCTATCAAAACCAGTATCCATTTATCCATCACAATCAGTATCTATCTATCTATCTATCTATCTATCTATCTATCTATCTATCTATCTATCTATCAAAACCAGTATCCATTTATCCATCATAATCAGTATCTATCTATCTATCTATCTATCTATCTATCTATCTATCTATCTATCTATCTATCTATCTATCTATCTATCTCTCACAATCAGTACTTATATATCTATCACAATCAGTGTCTATGTATCTATCACAAACATTGACTATCTATCTATCTATCTATCTATCTATCTATCTATCTATCTATCTATCTATCTATCTATCTATCTATTACAATGAGTGTCTATGCATTTGAAAAAAAAAGATACATAAATTTGTATATATATGGAGAAAAGTGACCAAAACTTAGACAAAATAACTAAAAACAGCCCAGGTTATATACTTAAACATATATTTAAAATAATATTTAAATAACCTGCAAATGATTGATAATCCGTAGAACATGGATCAATTCATCAATGAAAAATGTATGATCATTTTTGTTTTTCATTTTAACGTGTTCCTTGTTTATATCTTGAACTAAGCTTAAATTTGATAATATCCCCCCCCAAAAAAAATAAATCATTATCATCTCAAAAACATTCTTAAAATCTAAAAATAGTTTCTGGCTTTAAATAACCTGCAAAGGGTTGATAATCTGTAAAAAAAAAAAAAAGAAGTCATTCAATCACTCTTTTCGGATTCATTTCTTTAATCTCGTTTTTATTCCAACTTAACTCTACTATAATATTAGGTTGGTGCAAAAATAATGACGTAATAATGTCGTTTTTTTAACGTATTTTTTAACGTCAAAAACGACATTATTACGTCATTATTTTTGCACCAACCTAATAATATCCATATATCTGTTTGACAAACCGTGTTTTTTTTAGATTTGCAGGCCTGGAAACACAGTAAACCGATACTTTTTAAGCTTTTGACATTTTAACGGATACATTCAAAGTGAAAATAGTGTTAGGGGGACCATATTTTTTTTTTACTATCGTTCACCCAGTTCAAGTCTCAAGAGGCACTCAAGGTGGAGGTTTACTAAATGAGGAAGAGGTACAGATTATCAGGATTGATAACGGTTGACCTTAGACTTGAAGAGATTAACCTGGTGGTGATTTAGAAGCACCCCTTCATAATCCCTGAATAGATTCAATTAGATTGGGTGGGAATGGTGAACCATTGAGAATTGTGCAAAAAAACAAGGATTTTACTCTACAGACCAATGGTATCCTAAGCTGTCCCAAAGGCATAAAATTCTATGTGATCTTGAAGTTCTAACTGATCACAGAGACTAGAACAACCACTCGATGTAATCAAGCATGCTTGTCTGAAATACAGGGGGCGAGTGCTATTTGAGGACATTTTTAGTATGTTAAATAAACAGCAATATCTTAGCAAACGATGTATATATTTAATTCAAACTGACACAAATATTCTTCATGATACATCTTTATCTAATTATTCTATGAAACCGCCTTTGGCTTCAATGACTGCTTCTATTCGGGCTCGAAACCGTCTACAAGCTGCAATTAAATGGTCCTTGGTCATTTTGGAAATCACCTGGACAATGGCGGCCTTCAGTGCAGCTAAGGTACTATGATGATGTCGATTAATCTCCCTTTCAACGACGCTTCACGCGTAATAGTCCATAGGATTTAAATCTGTCGAGCTAGGGGGCCACATGTTGGGAGTCACATAATCGTAAAAATTCTCTGATAACCAGTCCTGGGTTAAAATGGCTTTGTAAGAAGGTGCAGAGTCTTGTTGAACGACATATGACCTTCCACTGCATATTTATTTACCCAGGGCTTAACAATCGTTTTAAGAACATTAATGCATCCAGCAGCATTGATCCTAAGACCTTGTGTGAAAATGTAAGGTGACATGACATGACCTTCACTGCTCACAACCCCTAAAACCGGATATTTGGTGTGCGTCACTCTGGGTACTTCAGAAGGAGATACACATAGCCACCTGTCATTCCGTCTGTTTGTTTTCTAATCTTGGTCAAAGTTTTTTTCGTCAGAGATAAACCAAAGCATCCCATGTTCGTGGGGATTTTTCACTGTTTAGCAATTGTTTTGAACGCATGAGACGGTTTTCCTGTGTCTTCGCCGATATAAATTGGCCTTTCCTCATTATATATGATTTATATCGAATGTCCTGATATACCACAGTTCTGATATTCCACTCTGATACCTAGAATTCTTTGGCGATGGACCTCATTGATCTTCCGGGATTCACATCGATGATGTTTTGAAGATTCCGTATAAATTCTGGTGTTCTCATGGTATCAGAGCGATGTGAATGTTTTTTTTTTCTTTTTGCTACAGGGGAAACATTGCCATCACATCCCTCTAGCTCCAACCAAACCTTATGAACAGATGATCTGATAACATATAAAAAGTTACTGATTTTTAAATCACTATGTTTTGCAACTAAAGCAACAATAACTGCATGTCTTTTCATTTCTTGGATTAATATCTTCCTCTGACTAGGTTATCTGAAAAAAAAAATTATTATAAATGATTTGAGTGTGTAGTGAACTTAAAACAATATGCCCTCGAATAGCACTCGCACCCTGTAGTAAAATTTTAAATAGTGATCTTCAAAGCGTGGGACAAGGCCGAAAATATGGGGCAGTGAGAATCGAAATCATTATTCAGTCGTAAACTGGTCTAGCAAGGCAAGCTTGTTAAATATTACACCACGAAAGTGAAATTGCCCGAAAGTGAAATTGGATAGGAGATTAAAAAAAAATATTTAGATCATACCGGAAATCCAGAAAAATAATATCCCAAGGGCTTAAACAATTCCAAAGAATCAAACAAAAAAAAAAAAAAAAGAAGGAATTCTGACGATGAACAAGCAACATTATTGGTCATGATCTTGATTCAGTCACTAGTCGGGTGCCTTTCTGTACCTTTTCTATAAATACTTTCATGGTAATTGTTCGGGTGAGCTCTCGGATGAATTGTACATATAGGGACTAGTTAGGATTTTCATAGAGACAATGAGGTATTATGGTGAATGTAGTAAGAATGGTAAGTAAGAATGCGTTGTTTCGGTCTTAAGAATATTGTGTTATGTCTGCTGCTAGCTAAGTTTAAAACTAAGACAGATGAAGACCGTCCTTTTTTTCCAATCCCCCATTTTGGCCTTGTGTCACATTTTGTAAATATTTACAAATAAATATCGCTCTTCCCTATAGTTTTCATATTGTAAATACACATTGGGGTTATATTTTAAATTGTTATTTTATTCCCCTCCCTTCACAGATAATGAAATGTACATATGGCGACTAGTTAGGATTTTCATAGAGACAATGAGGTATTATGGTGAATGTAGCAAGAAAGGCTAGCTTGAAAGCGTCTTTATGCTGTAAGGAATACTGTTGCAGGATTGGATCAGTGTTTGTGGCTAGCTAAGTTTAAAGTTAAGACAGAAGAAGCCCGTCCTTCCCACCCCCGCATTTCCCATTTTGGCTTTGTGCCACATTTTGTAATTTTACAAATAAATAATGCTCTTCACATTGGTATCTATACTTTTTAGTTTAAGCGCAATATAAGTCTGGTGACGAGGTTTCATTAATTTACAGTTAAGCTAGCTCGATCTACCCGACGTTCTATGCTAACAGTTTCTTTTGTCGCACTTCTCGCTTGTGGAACCTTTTTTCTGACTCAATGCTTCCAGTCAACTTTAATCTTAAAAAAAAAAAAAATTAAATATAAGTCTATAAATATATCTACCTTTCGTTCGAATATTGCTGTCACATATACTCCAGTGCTCCTGCTATTTACCTAGAGCTCCAGAAC